TCAACATCAGTTGTCATCACCGGGATTGTTCAAACCGTGGATGTTGTTGAAAAATTTCTCTCTGGTGTCCACCGAAGATAATGTTTCCCATTTGATTCTTTGATTGCTTCTGCCACCAGATCTTCGTATGGTACTCGATTTCTTACATCACAGCGTGCCAACAACGGAGTGGTGATTGGTTGAGAGTTGTGCGCCTCTTAATGCGAATACCTATTACAGAGCGTCAATGTCAGACGATGCGGTTGTCAAATAGATCATCGATCTGCACACAAACTTCCCATACGGTTGTATTATACTTCCCACACGGTTACATAATGATATTATCGCTCTGAACGGAAATAAATGTAATCGGGCCTACGGTATTTCAATTCATAATTCATGAAGCAACAAATAATTCGAAGACAGTGAGTTTTAAAATAATAACTACGCCAGCTTTGTATTTCAGCATTTCTGTGAACAACAGATTGAGGTATAACTTGAAAGCTCTGGGTGCTAATGCAACAAAAAACACTCATACTGTACAGATTATGTTTGATGAATCTGTATAGAATGTTGTTTCTTCGGATACACTGAACTTCTCACAAAATGGGGGTTCAGAAAATTTATAGAATATCGACTGGTGAGCAAAAATTACTACATATCAGTTTTGATTAAACGCAGCGGCGTTAAACTTGGATTGCTGCGTAAACATCCACTATCATTTTAATTTAATTTGTTCATCTTCAGAAACCTAGCACAGCATCATTCTCGCTGAGAGCGGACAACTGCTTACGTCATTAGCTCTGCGATCAAACACAAGTGGCGTAAGACAATCTGTCTGTAAGAGACTTTTGTCTGCTGACAACAAACCTGACCGGAAGGAAAACAACTGCCGTAAAAAAGCATTATGACGGCTGTTTCAAGAACTCGTCTACATCCCGAGCACTGATTGGCCAGTCCAGTCAAGGCTGACGAAATATTCGAATGATGCATGGTGTGCTACAATCGGGTTGAAAAGAAAATAACATCCTTCCTGTCAATAGATAATTAATACTTAAATATCTGAAACGTCGAACGTGTTAAACCTCAACTTGCATATTCACATCACCGATCATTTTCAACATAGGGTTGCTGTGATAAACTTTAAATTTAAATTCATGCATACACGAATCGATAAATATCTAAGTCCACATGTTAATTATAATATACATTTAAATACTGTATGTGGTAGATGTTGCAGTGGGAAGGTGATAATCCTTCAGGATGTTATGAGTGAGCAAACAGAGCTCTAACGTTTTGCTCATTAGCATTATATGCACAAAAATGACGTTCCAAACAATCATAACACAGTGAGTCCGCACAATCATAGCCTGAACTAATCTGATTGCAATCAGAATAATTTACGCTGAAAACGAACTGAGCTTAGCTCAGGACGTCAGTTTGACGAATGTCACGCGAGTAAGTAAAAT